AGTCGAGTGGGCTAGATTTATCCCTAAAACATGTGCCGCTGAGTTGACTTCATGATGATTCGGTAGTAAAGGCATTCGCGAAGCAGCTGGCCTTGAGGTGTCAAGTGTAGTTCAGCTCAGCAGCTCTTAGTAAATTCAAAGTTTCTAGCTGAGCACTAGCTTGCCTACCTCTGCTGGCGAAGCTGGAAAAAGCTTCAAATCCAAGTTATTCACTAGCGAAAAAAAAAGTTTAAAAAAAACACGCACTTCCCCATATCTGGTGGTAATAATCTTTTCACCCAGGCTGTGGGAGCTTCTCAAACATAACTAGAGCTCCTCTAAGACAGATGTTAATGCTACACCTATAACCATTTCAGACTATTTCTAAAAAAGCGTAAAAACTTTCACCTTACTAGCATCACCTTAGCATCACACCTTTAATGGGCATATGTTCTATCTCTCTGTATTCCTTGAAGTTGCGTCGTCGTAGTCTTTCCTATACTGATCTAATATCGAATGTCAGCTTGATAACTTTAAGGTAGACAGCGGCTTTGCTGCCCTGTAATTTACGGCATCTATAAGCGGCGGTGTCTTTTTACGTTTAGTTAGGCCACTTGGTCGTCTATCATCCACAGCAATCAATATAATTAATACTGTCTGGACAACTGAAACTGTTACAATAATATTGAATCCGAAGCATATTCATTCACATTTGTCAGTACTTAAAAAAAGAAAATCGGTTTATAAGTTTACTAGCCCTCGCTTCCCTTCGGAAACTGTAATTTATTATTGATTTCTCCACTATTTAATGGATGCTATTATACATAAAAACCTTCCTCTTCAATCGCTCTATCTATTAAAAAACCGCATCAAAATCCGTTGCGTAGTTTTAAAGATTTAAGCATACATAGGGACAGATAGATATAGGGACAGAGAAAGCGACTTTGTTTTATACTCTGTAGTGATAACACTTATAAGTGGAGGAGAGAATAGTACTTAACTGAATTTTCATTCTTGTAAAAAACCTGCCTTTTTCGATTATTTTTTTTATTATTTTTATTGCTTAGATGGGTGGACGAGCTCACAGCCCACCTGGTGTTAAGTGGTTACTGGAGCCCATAGACATCTAGAACGTAAATGCGCCACCCGACTTGAGATAGAAGTTCTAAGGTCTCAAGTATAAGTACAACGGCTGCCCCACCCTTCAAACCGAAACGCATTACTGCTTCACGGCAGAAATAGGCAGGGTGGTGGTACCCACCCGCGCGGACTCACAAGAGGTCCTACCGCCAGTAATTATGCAAATTATAATTTTGCGGGCTTGATTTTTATTACACAATGTTATTCCTTCACCGTGGATTAATATGTATTTATTACTAATGTAACCTGTATTTAATACTAATGCTCGTTAATACTAAACATAAAGTCGTCGTAGTCACAAAGAAAACACGCTTGCTCTACTCATATCGGGCTATGCGACTGGCTGTGCCTCTGTTAAAAAACCCCAGACAGGAACCAATTTTTGTAAGGAAATCATACTTTACATAAATCCACAAATCACTACCACAATGAAAAACATCGTCTAATAAAAACAACATATAATCAATAATTATATATTACGTAATTACCAGTTGTAAGCGTTTTTTAAGCCCGCTCGGTTTAATACTATCACCCTGCCTATTAATATGCCGAAGCAGATGTACGTTCCGATTTCAGGTGTTAGACCTCATATCTCAAGGCGGATTGTGACACTCGCTTCGTGTTGTCAATGGGCTCCAGTAACCGCTTAATACCAGGTGCGTAATACCTCGTATACATGAAAAAAAAAAACGATTCACAAGCGGAAGAGTGTTTAAGCATTCTTTGCATATTTTATAAATAGATCAACTAGCTGTAGTTCAGCATTAAGATTACAAAGTAATTAAAAAGAATTTTAAGGAACACCAATCAACAAAACCGTTAAAAGCGCGGTATATAAAAAGACACATTCACGAAACATCCCCGTCGCTTTACAGCTCGGCTCATTTGGAGGTAATTGAGTGCGTGAATATTTTAAAAGAGCCCTGGTGTTAGAGTGTTAACTCATATAGATGGAAAATGTGATGCTCGTTGTACCCTCCATCGACCACATGAGGAACTCCATACAAAATTAGCTTGGTAATTTAACAGAATGTTTTCACTTCGAAGAAAATTCACTTTTAACTGAATGTATTATTAAATGAACGATTAATCCACAGATTAAATTTAAAAGCAAAAAAAAAGTAAGTAAGTAAAGTAAGTTAAAAAAACAGAAAATCAATATCTATTCCACATATACAACAATTAATAGCGTCTTAAAGGGCTAAAGGCTTTTTTTGCAGTACTAATCAATTTACTTTACTTCATTTTATTTGTAACGTAGAGTCTGCTTATTCTAGATATCGGGTTATACTGGTGGTAGGACCTCTTGAGAGCCAGCGCCCTAGCTATTTCTGCCGTTAAGCAGTAATGCGTTTCAGTTTCAAGGGTGGGGCAGCCGTTGTAACTATACTTGAGACCTTAGAACTTATATCTCGAGACGGGTGGGGCATTTACTCCTGGGCTCCTGTAACCACTTAACACCAGGTAGGCTGTGAGCTTGTCCACACATCTAAGCAATAAAAACAAAAACAAAAAAAAACCGCCGCTGAGATAATCATTTAGTGTTAACAAATCATGCAACTCGCAACAAGTCCTGCGACTCACCAATATAGAAGTTAGGAAGACTAAAAGATGCCCGACAGACTATATAAAAACTGTTACCGTAATACGTGAAGATTGTCACGGTTGTTTATGACAACTAGTACCTAATGCTAATAATTCTAAGAGTTATGCTGCTTTTCAAAAACTTGCGAAACAAGTTTACGGTCCGCTATAACTGTCGCTAATTGTATGAAAAACAACATTTTCTTGAAACTACTCGCGTGCCACAAATCATTCGTTGATATTGCTATCAATAAAAATCCTACATCAACTTATGTAAGCCTATTTAAAGAATACGGGACACCATCATGGTCGTCGAAGTCGTTGTGGCCTAATCGATAAAACGCCTGGTATGTGCGTTGTACGGTGCGATGCGTATGTACTGGTGTTCAAATCCCGCAGGCATATACTAATTTTTCTAATGAACTGCGGAATAAAGATGAGGGAACAACATCGTGTAATAAAAAACAAACCCGCAAATATTACAATTTAAGACGTATATTTTAAGGCTGAAAGTGTGTTGCGGAAATACTGTTATTATTTCTATCGACTCCGGTACCTCTTTAGCAATAAAAATAAAATTAAAAAACATCAAGAAAAGACGAATAAATCTTAATACTGCACCAAGAGAACAAATAAGCTTAAGACGTCAAGGTTTCTACATAAAAAGAATAAATAACTCGAAGGTAGATTTCTAGATAGATCTATCTATTTAGAAAAAAAAACTACTTCTTATAACGAGACCTGTTTTACGTACTAGTTTGAAACTCGTATATTGGTTAACAGCAGGAAAATAATCCCATGATTTCATTGTCTACACCATATCCAATCTCAAAGAATTATTATATAAACGTATGCTGAATCGTAAAAAGATTGATTATGTACATTCATAATAATAAAATTGTTGTTGTAATTATTTTTAAATGCACGCAATGAAGTCTAAAATCATTGTAATTTTGTCTTCTATTCGTATTTCTTCGTAATTTATATTATTCCATCAATTGCAATTTAACCCTTGAATTTTCCTCCTTTTTCTAACATAAATTTCGGTACAAATTTATTTTATAATTGGTAACATAATTTTTCGTGTTGAACCGTTCGATGTGTCCATTTGATTATGACCTGATTGTAAAATTCATGTTATGAAAACATATTGATGGACAGCTTGTTACTAGACTTCCTTTCATTTTGTTTAGATATTTTAGTATTAACTTCCAGAAATATCTAGCGCACCGTAATAGTATCTATTTAGATAGATAAATAAAAATCAATTGCCATGCGTATGCCGATTTAACTAGGACAAGGATTGTATGAAATCATTATTATGAGAAAATCCACGAGAATAATATCAAGCGCTTTCATTCCTAATTTTTCAATTAATGTGACTGAATATATTTTTAACTATTCAAAATAAATCAATGTATTGAACAAAGTTAATTTAAAAGTTAAATAAAAATTCATGTAAAGTAATAAATTAACTTTAGTAGTTTTTTTTATTAATTATTAATCTATATAATACGTGTTTAAACGAAATGAATGATCCCTTATTAAAATGACAGTATGCCGTCCGAGCTTCTGCCGCCGGACATAATATGTTTTGCGAGAAAAATTATAGTAAGAGAATTCAATAAGAGCTAAAATTCTTATACGTTCCCTATTATGATTAAATAATTTGTTAAATTCAAAATGTCTAAACTATTTTTCAATTAATTGTAATACATGAAAATATATATTAGAGTTTGGAAAGATTAACAAATTATATAAAAAGTTTTTCTCTCACACAATATTTTTCCGTACATCAAGGATAATTATTTCTTCAAATATAATGGGCTTTATTTTCGTTTTACACAAAAGAGATATAAATTTTAGAGACAATAAGTGACCCAAGGCTATCCTCGTCTCATTTTATCCGCGAAATACTACTTGGGGTTGCTAAGCCCCAATTAAAAAAAATCAGAAATACTCCTAGTAAATTTTAGTTCAGTCTATTGTTCTCGTTTAATGTTTTGCTTTAAATAAGCAGGGATCAAGTTTGACGGAGAGATATTAAATAAAACACCTCAATAAGAGCATTCTTTTCAAGAAAGAAAACGGCGAGCACAGGAAGAGACCAGGATCAGGGTCGCTTAAGTGAAAAGTAAAAATGAGCCGATCTTTCGCTCAATATCGGCCTACCTGTTGCGGCGCCGCGCCCGCCGTAAACCGCGCCTCACTCAAACTTTTACGCGCCCTTCCTTCGGTTACTTGCCAGTACTTTAGCCCTGTGACCAAATAACAATAAAAAAAAAAGAAAAACTTACCAGTAGTTTCCTTCTGGACATCTGTAACGACATTGCTGATTTTTTGAACGAAGTTTGTTATACTTCCCGTCAGTTTGAGGCCGTATTTAGACTTTTGGGTAAAAGAAATGTGCGCTATTAGCGCGAGTGATCGCGATTGAGGTTTCTTGGCTTGGGACGTCCGCACGCAGAGCCGTGCCAAGAGACAGTGAAGCTTCCCCTCAGACCTCACCACCGGTATAGCCTCCACCCCGCGCACTGCACCTACCCCTGCGAACAGCTACGATCCTACCATTTTCTGCCTTTTCCTGGTCATGACAATTTTATTCTGTTATTAAACATAATACATATTTTTTTATTCTAATTCGTAACATGTTTCATCTTCAACTTCACTTTTTTTCATTTGATTGGATCAAATTATTGTCACTAGTGCTTACTTATGAGTGCTACCAAAATCGCTTGGTGCTGTCCAAATTAAAACTCAAATAATTACATGGGAGCTAGCAGTTTTGTAAACATGAATGAAATAAGACGGAATGAAGATTAAAATAAATTATATTTTACATATCTAAGGAAACTCATTCGAATCATCTAATTTTAATACAGGTGTCTTGATGCGTATTTACAAAAATACAAAATGAAGTACACTACTACTATATTCGAAAGTGTTCGTTTACGAAGGCACACGACTCCACGACTTGTTACTTGACTATTCGCGGTTTTCGTCAGTAAAGATCGTAGCTGTTTTCAGGAGACTAGACCCGCGGAAGTACTTACAGTCACATTGGCGATAGGCGGTAAACGTGATTTATTATCTACACCCACATATATTATAAATAGCACTCATCTATATCTATATCTATACTTCTATACTAATATTATATTATATTATAATATTATAATAATAATATTATAATATAATAATAATATTATAAAGAGGAAAGATTTGTTTGTTTGTTTGTTTCGAATAGGCTCCGAAACTACTGGACCGATTTGAAAAATTCTTTTTCCATTAGAAGCCGACATTGTCCCTGATGAACATAGGCTACTTTTTTTTAATTTTTTTTTTAAATTTTTTTTTTGGTTTCATGTTTGTTTTAATGTTTCCGAAGCGAAGCGAGGGCGGGTCGCTAGTATCACATATTTATAGATTGTGCGCAAATTAATTATTTACGAAACGTTATTGGGATAATTAACGCCCAAAAGGTATTCCGTCTTTTTTTAATTGCAAAAGAATAGCAACCGGTACCAGTGGCTTAGGGAGAGAATCAATAACGGGGCGTTCCGCTTACAAGGACAGTCGTTATTCTGATGCAATCGAAACTTCAATCTCAAACTTTAAGGTAGCTGCCGGAATTGTTATTGTGACCCATACGCGCTTAATAATCTCTTCAACCAAACTGTAAGAGAGCTATCGTGTGGCAAATTTTTTCAATGTATTTCACAGTGTATAAATGAATTATCTATATATATATATAAATGAATTGCTGTCCGTTAGCCTCGCTAAAACTCGAGAACGGCTGGATCGATTTGGATAATTTTGTTCTTGAATTATTCGTAGAGAAGGTTTAAAAGGTGAATAAATATGAAAATGCTCGTAATTTTATAAAAATAAATGTTTTTCCTTTAATGTGTCCCGTGTCGGATGGATTCCTTTCGTTTTTTTTTTTATATAAATGTTTAGGTCTTTTAATTATCGATTAAGACACTACGAAGTCTGCCGGGTCAGCTAGTAATCAATAAAATGCTCATATTAGAAATGTACTTTTTATTTTTGTGACAAAAATAATATGCGTCTCAAAATCAAAGTTTTCATCATACTTTAAAGTCTAATACATTGTTTTTTTTTTTTTGTTTAAATCCCGTATGCTGCGTAAAAGCTAAATTAGCCTATGTATACATTTAAGCCGAGTATAAAGCTTGTTTTTTCTTTCTTAAACGCGTACCTGACACGTTTTCACCAAACATAAAGGAAAAAACTCGAATTAAATGAAACGTGTACAACGTGCCCAATTATTAGTGACACGGCGTATTGTGAAACAGTACAATTAGGCCATATCCTTCCGGCTATTTGTAGCTTAAGCAGCCAGGCCGTAGAGCCGAAGGGCCGTTAAATAATCAAATGAGACATCGAAGATATTTCAAGGCTGTATTCAAATTACCATAAAATATAACCCGGTAACAAATCGATTATGAGATCGTTCTACCTATCTAGAGATACAACAAAGTTTTATGTGTGTGTAATATGTATTTCAATTTCTTTATGGCTTTTATAGCGTTACCATTCTAATGAAACTATACATAAAATCTTTAAGTATTCTTTAGTTGGCATTTTTAGAAATCGCAGTTGGAGGTATCGTCTTATTTTTTTTGCATATTGGTGTGAACGAGTTGACAGACCTGGTGTTAAGTGGTTGTCGAATTTCATAGACATCGTAATGCTAATGCCGTTAACAATTTTTTTTCTCTTTTTTTTTTTTTCGGGCCGGGGGCCGGACCTCCTACGAGGTCCCCGCGCCTAGGGGGCGCGCGGGGTATGTGAGACTCAACGATCTGCAGGTGTTGAGAGCAGATCGCGGGCCCAAGGATTTTAGGGCCCACCCACTAAACGACTCCCCTGCACTCTTACACCCGACGTCCGATCTCCGTCCGGGTTCAGAACCCGTTCAGAGTAGGGGGGACTAATGCCGTTACCCACCCTAAGGTCTGAGTTTTATACTATGACGGCTGATTCAAACTATAACGAAATACGTCATAGAAATAGACAGGGTGGTGGTACCCGTCCGGTTCTACAATACTTAATTGATTACGTATATTTATTATAGTACTATAAAAACGGTAGTTGCGAAAATTATCATTTTTAAGGTTTTGATTTTAATAGCTTGATGTCATTCGTCGAACATAGAAAACAATAAATCAAATCAAATCAAATAAATAAATAAATTTTTTTTTAATTCAACTTAAATGAAAGTACGTACTTGTTGAACGTCAAAAAGAACTACCGTCAATTCACAAAAACTAGCCTCCGTCCTGAAAAGAACTGGCAAGGGCGAATCCAGCTTTGGCACCAGGAGGGGGTCCATAGTCAAATTTAGATGCGTTCGTTCCGAAACGTTTGCCATTATACAAAGTTATTATATTATATTCAATTAATTAAATATTGAAGGTATGTAGTTACATAAAATCTGTATGGTGACAAAATATATAAATAAAATCATTATATTCAATTAGTGGTCCACCTAAGTCCTGGAACCAGCTCAGGGGGTGGTCACGACCCCCATGACCCCCCCCCCTGGATCCGCCATTGAGAACTGGCAAGAAACTCAGCGGGCATGTCTTTTTTTTAAATATTAGATTATGATTTTTTTAAAGTTAGGTTTTTTAAATATTAATTTTTACAATGAGTATTATAACGTAACAATTATTGCAATATTGAAATGCCCGAAGCGAGCAACTCATTCGCACTTTGTGCAATCTTCTAGTTCTTATAGTGTGTATGATGGCTAAGTATGTATATCAATCTAAAAATTGGTACCTTCTTGAACACTGACATAGTCGCATCGAGTTTATTTACCAAAATAAAAACTCAAACCGCAGCTTACTTAGGATTCTACAAGCTTTTAAAACTGAAAAAAACCGCCCAGAAATTGCTTCAGCTTCCGACACTATTAAGCTTCGGAGAAACTGAGACACAATTTTAAAATTGGCCTTTTGTGAAGATGTCAAAATTTTTTTAGTTTTAACTTTTTAATTCTTAGTAGAGATTGGTCTTACTGTATGAATACCTGATACTAACAACTTTTGAGAGCGGCAGTAACCATCCACAACCAGGTATTTACATTTTATGCTAATATATGTAGTTTTTACTGGTATTTGTGCGACTATATCTTTATATCTTCTTTACTGAAATAAAACAAATTGTATAAATGATTAATAGATATTATTATGAGCTTTCAATATTTCTATGTATGCAATATCAGATATTATTTTTAATATTCAGTGTCAGTCTGTATTCAGCAAGTTGTTTTCTTAGTATTCTGAAGCAAGGTGCCTGAACCCGTGAAAGTACTAATCTGTATATTTTTGTAATGAAGAATTGACAAATTGCGATTTCCAGACTAATACAGTCGTTGATGGATTGTCACTTTATGGTGATCGTGGGCAGGATTAGCAGCTTTACAACATAATACCACCTGCGCCCAAAAAAATTAATTGAAATTTAAAACTGAAAACTTTTCACATACAAACGAGTCAGATTAGCCTTTTCTTCTCTGGAATAGAAACTTAATGACATCAAAATCCTGAACAGATTCGCATTGATTTCGAAATCGATAAAGAAACTTTTTAGATAAATATAAATAAATATTTACTAACAATCACGCTACACGCTAACAACTGGTCCCGTGATAAGTTCGTAAAGAACTTGTGTTACAGGTCCCAGATAACGGATATATATGTAAGATTTTTATTATACACATACATATATTTAATAGACATCCCCTGGAATCCCATAACCCTGGAAAAGACATTTATATTTATCATACAAATATCTTCCCTTGGCGGGATTCGAACCCGCGACCCCCCTGTGTAGTGACCATGTCACTTACCACACTACACCAGACGGCCGTAAAGTTGTTCTTTTGAATTTTTTTTTTTACTTCTTTTATATACATCGAATTATTGTTCGATGTATTTGTTGTAATCAAAGACGCAAGAAATTGTCCGCGATAGCATATTAATATTAACCATTCGGGATAATTATCCCAATGTAAGTGTATTTCGTCTCAGACTAACTAAGTCGAAACGCGGTTGATGAGAAAGAGTGATTTTATTTACCCGTGCTGGCTTAAAAAACGCTTTTTTTTTATTTATCTTTTACACGTTTATTTCTTACTAAGCACAATAACAATTTTGTTAAACGCAAACTATGTAATTTATATGAAGGAACGTGTAAGAAAAGAATAATAGTCGACTATCCAAATGAAAACACATACCCCATCCTCTATAAATAGTCACGCCAATAAATATTCACGTAGTCATAACATCACACATCGAGTTTAGTAAGCTGTCAAATTATATTACGATAACGTTAAAGTGAGAAGTAGGCGTGCCTTTGAACTCCTAATAGAGGAGGTGTTATTGTCAGTCACATGACAGCATCTT